TAATGTGCATATGTATACATTATCCATGCAGAACAAAATTATCAATGGATAAAAAATAATCAACTTGTAGTTAGTTTCTTTCAGGGATTTTAATAAATACCTCACTTTTAATAAGGTATGACAAACTAACTTAAAGTGAGTTGTAAACACATGCAGGAGTCATGCAGACGTTATCAGAAGTTTGTTTTCTATAAAAAAGTTTCTATTTAAATATACTTTTAGTACACTTTCTTTCTGCGCTTCACAGATGGTTTTTCCAATTTAGAACTATTAAAATGAAGATCGAAATTTCATACCATCAATTGGATTTCATGTCTGACGGAATTCGAATATAGGACCACCTATGTATGGTCCCATGAATATTTATGTACTACAATCGTTAAGTGACAAGTTAGATGACAACTAATGCAGCCATCGCCATAAAAATATAGTTCGCTTTCCTCAAAGAAAATATACAGATAATATTCCTTCCTAATCAAATTCAAGTTAACTTATAGTTAGATACATTTCCTGCAGGGATGTTTATGATTGCTGATAAATAATGTGACTTCATCTAATCACTTATGCATGTGTTAATATGGGAATGAACACATACATATCTATCTATGTATCTACGTACATATGTATGTATGTCCTCTTTGTCTACTCCTAAATTGCCACTTTGTATTCGCTTATCAATGCAATAATAAAATTTATGACTATTTTTCTTCGATATTCTTGTTCTGCTTATTAATTTTTTCCCTCTAAAATCATATACGATAAGCAGTTTTCACAAGAACTACTTGCTGATGTTAAAATCAATGTGAGACTTAACTGCCATCACTGATTGCAATTTTTAGCTTTAAAATTCAATAGTTAATTTTTCTGGCAAGCGATATATAAGGTCAGCATTTCGCAGGCAAAAGAGTCCGTCCCAGAATGCCTGAGCTTGTCCAAGAGTAGTCCAGATGCAAAATTTTGGGGGTGTAAATATGATAGATATACATCGCTCTTTCGATGCATCGGATAAATGAACATCGATACTAAAATACATCCGATGCTTTACAATTTGTTAAGTACGTATTAGGGATGTTGCGAATGTTGAATTTTAGACATCCGCGGATTCTGCTGGAAATCCCTATTGAAGGAGCTTACTCTTTGACTTTAAATAGCAAAGAAGGGACAGTTTTACCACAGAAGTTTTTAGCCAAGGATTCAATGTATATCCCTATGAACAGTGCACACGTTCTTAATTTGTGTCCAGTAGTTTTTTTTTAAGATTGGTCCAAAAAAAAAAATCATAATAAAGAAAGAAACCAATGCAGGTATTTAAAGCACAAAAAAAAAATAAAAATTGTTAAAACGACTGTGTGGAACTTGTATGACTGCCCATTGATAACGCGGTTATATATCTTAAGAAATAATATGTTTATATGTTTAATATGTTGTCATTTTGTTTGCCATATACATATACGTTTTATCGGTGCACTTGCACAACATTCGCATTCGCAAAAGCTCCGCATTGATTATTGCGAATGCGAAAGCGAATGCGAATGTTAAAATGAATGCGGAAGTTCCGCAGTTGCGAATGCGAATGCGAATATTCGCAACAACCCTGGTACGTATGTATTTCCCTATATTTAATTAGCCTTCCTATACCCTTCCCATAGCGATTATAAAAATGCATACCATCTTAAGTTCGGAAGTCTTGGTTGAATAACTCAATAATAATAGTCCTGACAGAGGTTTAAGAAAAATCAAAGACCAGTTAAGAAATTAAAAATCAATTTAATTAATAAGTTAAATCAAATATTTTATTGTGTATTTGATATGAAATAGGTTTTAAGAAAACTGTATCTATCTCGAAAAAATTTTGGACGAAGGCGGTTGCCGCCAGTTTGGATATTTAAAATCATTTTAATTGACAAGTTTAATGAAATCCTACTAATATCATAAATTTGAAAGTTCGTGTGACGCAAAGATAGGGGGTATTTTTTTAAGAGGGTTGCCACCTATTGAATAGGTTAAATTCTTAGTTCAACAAAGTTTTAAAATATGGATGTCAAACTAACGCGATTAAAAAAGCTGTATTACAAAAATATTTTTAAGAGGATTACCACCTATTTCAAAAGCTAAATTCAAACGAATGAGTTTTAAGAAATTTTTACTTTGAAACTATTTATTTTAAAAATAATTGTTACATGTTGTGTTTTAAAGCCACCCCATTTGTTTTAATTAAATAATGCATTAAATAATGGATGTCAATCGAAAGAGAAATACATAAGTAAGTTTTATTTCGAAAAAAAAAAATTAATAAAAATGGCTGCCACGTGTTGAAAAGTTATATTAAATTTAATCACTCAGTTAAATTAAACAATACCAATTGATGTGGAGTCAAGCAAAAGATGTTTAAAAAAGCCTTTGGTTCAAAAATATGATTAAAGTGGGTTGCCACCTGTTTCAAAGTCAAATTAAATTTTATCAGTAAGTTGAATGAATAGCTATAAAATGAATGTCAAGTCAAACAAAAGATGGTTGAAAAAAACCTTGGTTCGAAAATATCTTTAAATAGGGTTGCCACCTGCTTAAAAGTAAAATTAAAATTTAATCAGTAAGTTCAATGAAACGCTACAAAATGACTGCCACGCTAAATACTTTAACGAAACAGTTGATAAAAGGCGGCCGAAGATATTTTGAAGTGGGTTGCCACCTTTTTCAACGTTAATTCGATTTAATGAAATATTAAAATATGGATGTCAAACGAAAGATATGTAAGAAAGCTTTTGAGGCTTTTTAATAGCTTTTAGTTTTTTTTTTAAACTTTTGATGGCACCTCTGCCATGAAAGGGCGTTTGATTAAAGCCATTTGCCGTTGGGAGCGCTAGATTATTGCATTTGTGTGACAACATCGAAGTGCGCCTCATTTTGCCGACTGGACAAATCCAATAACCCCGGCATTTAAAAATAATATTGACTGGGATATAAATATTCAGCGAATAGTTTATTATAATTTTTGTTTTTTATCCTAACTACCCACGGCCACTTTGCACACTTTCTTTAATGCAGACCGTTCACGAACCCATCCCATTAATTATTCTCCAGATACCGTGTGGAGTTTTTCGACGCTCAATATCATTTACATACATACATATATGTGTGTATGCATATTTATACATTGCCTGCAATTTAAAATTCCTATTTTTGTAGGTCATTTAAATTAAGGGAATTGGGAATAGGGGAAAATGGAAACAAAATAAATGTATAGGTAAGTTTACACACTGCCCATTGGCGACATGTGAAGTAAATAAACCGCAACTGTAACCTTGTCAACACAACTGGACAGCTATCATTGAATTTGGGCTATCGTTTTATTATAGCCTGCTATTAAATTGCTGCAATTTCGATAAGTTATTTCTATTATTGTAGGCAAGTTAAAAAAAAAAAAGAAATAATCATAAACACTAATTAATTGAGCTTATAAAATCATAAATTCGGTTATAAAATAACTTACTTGACACTAAGTAAAACCTGATGACATTATTTTTAATTCTTTCTCTTTTTGCACGTTACAGCTAATTTATGGGCTCAGCCGATAAGCGAATGGCGTTTTTATTGAATTTACTTTGGGGCCATGCGTAAAAATGAAGGATCCAAAAGAAGTTTTACAAGAAGAAGACAATTTGATAGCAATCAACAAAATGGAGAATTTAGAAGGCGATTCAAATGACAGAGGTGAGTGGAAGCAATTGAAAAATATGTGCATACGTACGTACATTAGGGGGCCACACAAAAAAAGAAGTTGCGGGTTTTCACCGGAATTATAAAATTACATATTGTGTTCTAAGACTTCAGGAAATACATTTTGGAAAAATATAAAGATTGACGCGAGATTTGAAGATACCTCCAAAAATCTGAATTTCTAAACTAGAACATTTTTTTTTTTTT